CAGGGGCGGGGCTTGGGGCGCTGGTGGGGCGGGGCCTGGTTGCTGGCGGTGGTTGGAAGCGTGCTGGGGTGGCTCTGGTGGCGTCGGTGCCTTCAGTTAGGCAGTTCCTACCGCCGTGGAGGAGGCTGAGCGTGCAATGGGGTCTGCGGAGTGTGTTTGTGGGATCCGGAAGTGGGGCGCGCCTCTGGGATGGGCGGGAGTCTGCGGGATGTGAAGGGACTGGGCCTCTGGGTTGGAGGAAAATGTAAGTTGGAGAAAACTGGGAGCTGGAGGAGCGGGTACGGACCACGTCCCGGGAAGACGTGCAGAGCTGATCGCTGGGCCCTGCGGTGGGGCGGGGACCGCTGCGGACTGTAGCCTGGAACAGCAGGTGTTGGGTCGGGTGATGCGTGACGGCATGCGGGTCTCTGGCAGAAGCAGCCCCGCAAAGTAGGTTGAGGTGGTCCTTGCGGGGCAGGGCTTGTGCGGACGGAGCCTAGAAAGGGGGAGGGACCTGCAGAGCGAGAAAATGGGCTCCTAGGTAGGGCCAGGAAAAACTAAGACGGGCGCAGCCTCAGAGGGGCCGGCCTTGGATCAGCAGGTTTTAGGCTGGGTTGGCTGCCAAGTGTGGGCACCCGGGAAAGGAAGCGGCTAGAGAAAGGGGTCATTGTAGAGGCCGAGGAAGGTTACGCTTCCATGGGGCCTGCCTCAGAGAAGGTCGGGCCTGGAAGGGAAGGCAGTGTCAGTGGTGAAATAGCAAGTGCTGAACAGAGCCTGGCAGAGGGGCATTTGACACACCGAGGGCCAGAGGCTGCTCAGGGAGCCCTCTAACTGCTCTTCTGTCTCTGAGCTTCCCTTTGGGAGATAGAGTGTTGCAGCAATTAAACTGATGGGCTTTGAGCTCAGGTTTGAATTTCAGTCTGTGTTTTGCCAGTTAATCTCAGGAAAATCCTAGGCGAAGGGTCAATGGGATCATGTATATAAAGGGCCTGGCACAAGGCTAAGCCCTTAGTAGGTGCTTAATGAATCATTGCTTAATACATAATGGTGGTTATAATGATTGTCTTCCTCACACCCCCAAAAGTGCCCATTGAGCATCCACTGTGGGTCACACATTTTTCAGGGCCATGGGGAATACAGGGGGACATTGACAGGTGAGGTTCTCACTTTCCCGGATTTCACAAACATCGTGGGAAACACATCAGTTCATTCATCCAGCTCATTTCCATTGGGTGCCTACTATGCACCAGGGCCTGTGCTGGGTCCAAAGTGCAGAATATCCAGTGTCCAGGAGAAGGTGGCTTCTATCTCCTGAGGGCAGGGCTCTCTCTGTTACCCAGTGCCTAGAACAGTCCCAAGCCCATCATAGGTGCTCAATAAATAAGTACTTGTTAGAAAGAATGAGGAAATTTCTGACCTGGAAACAGCAAGATGGGTAGGAGTCAGGTGGGGAATGTGTTCCAGGCAAAAGCCTAAATGTGGGGAACAGCCTGCCCTCTGTAGGCATTTCTGTTTCCTTACCGTCTTCAACTCTGTCTCTCACTCCTTCTGTCCTTTCAGGCTCAGCCTCACTGTTCTCCAACTTTCTCCGCAGGCAGCGGTGGCCCCTCTTGGCGGCCACAGAAGAACCGCTCCCGGGCGGCGTCAGGCGGGGCGGCGCTGGCCAGTCCCGGCCCGGGGTCAGGATCAGGCGCCCCGGCTGGGTCCGGAGGCAAAGAGCGCTCGGAAAACTTGTCTTTGCGGCGCAGCGTGTCGGAGCTCAGCTTGCAGGGCCGGCGGCGGCGGCAGCAGGAGCGCAGGCAGCAGGCGCTCAGCATGGCCCCTGGGGCAGCTGATGCTCAAATCGGACCTGCAGACCCTGGGGACTTCGACCAGTTGACTCAGTGCCTCATCCAGGCCCCCAGCAACCGCCCCTACTTCCTGCTGCTCCAGGGCTATCAGGATGCCCAGGTAAGTGCTGCCTCCCCTGCAGAGAGAATCCTAGACTTCCAGAGAGGTGGTGGCCTCAGGTACTCTGGGAGGCGTGGCCCTGCAAGGTTCTAGAGCAGGCGTCATGGTGAGCAGAGGTGGAGAGTAGGTGGCTGAGGAGGCGTGCACTGGAGGAATCAATAGGGAATGGTTCACTTCATTCCAAGCTGGAGGATTGGCCGGTGCAACAGCTCACACCTGTAATCCTAGCATTTTGGGAGGATCGCTTCAGCCCAGGAGTTCGAGACCAGCCAGGGCAATGTAGGGAGACGCTGTCTCTACAAAACATCAGAAAAATAGCCGGGTGTGGTGGCGCACACCTGTAGTCCCAACTGCTCGGGAGGCTGAGGCAGGAGGATCGCCTGAGCGATGAGGTTGAGACTGCAGTGAGCTATGAGTGTGCCACTGCACTGCAGCCTGGGCGACAGAGTGACACTCTGACTCAAAAAAAAAAAATGTTGGAGCCAGGCTTGGTGGCTCAGCCTGTAATCCCGCGCCTTTGGGAGGCTAAGGTGAGTGGATTGCCTGAGCCTGCAGGTTCAAGATCCGCCTGGGCAGCGAGACCTCAT